ACCTGGTTTCTCTGCACGCTGTCGTCTTCACACCAGGATCTGTGTTCGGTGCTGCTCTCATCTACCGTGGTTCAGGTTCTGGTCGGTTTGCTCGGCTGCTCAGAGCCTCCTGTGAACAGAACCGATCAGGAACACTCTCTGATGAAGTCTTTGTGGTTCTCATGTAATCAGGTCCAGTCAAGCTTCCAGGTCCGACTGTGGAACACGACAGAACCTTGACATTCCTGCTGACAGATCGTGAGTCTGAGCCGATGCAGAACCTGGACCGAGCCTGAAGTCAGACTCTACTCAGACCCACACATTCAGCCCAGCAGAACGTCCCACTCTCAAGGTTCTGATGGGACCGTGATGTGTTCCATGTCTTACCTGCAGCTGGGCTTCCTCCTCATTGGTCCAGGACGGTCACATGTTCAGGTGTCCAGAGGACACGTTGGCTCCTTCGAGGAACCCGTGGGAAAGGTTCTTCACTAAACCGTTGTTCCGGCTTTGAGGATCCATCTAGAACCATCTCTCTGAATAAAAGTCGTTAGAACACGGTTCTGTGAAGCAGCCGACCGGACCCAAAGCTGACTGGACCCTCTGCTGGTCCAGAGACGTGAAACAGAACACACCTGAGTGCAGGTTTAATCAGCAACAGGTGGGCCGGCCACACGGGTCAGCGCAGGTGAGAGGCAGCCAATCAGAGAAGACAATCAGAGCAGCACATATCCAGCAGCTGAAACCTTTTTAATCTTTTACTTTTTAACATTTTACTGTCGATGCTGTAAAAGAGCAAATCATCTAAAGTTCTGGACGTGATTCAGTCGTTGTTCTGACTGACGGCCGACGTTCGTCCCGTCTGTGATTTACGGGTTAGAATCCGTCTCCAATCAGAACACAGGAAACCTGTAAATGATCGTTTCTTTCACAATAAATAATGATTCGTTCTTTTAACCGTGTGGCTGCGTTTTCCTGCTTCGGAACCACTTCAATGAGAACAAACGTTATTTCACATCGTTCAAAGTTCTGCTCATCGACTTATAGAAACATTACGTCTCTTTTTTACAGCATTCTGTCATAAAATCTCATTATTCTGACGACATGAAGTTTATTCATGAGGACGAACTCTGGGAACAACACAGAATCAGAACCACTGAGCAGAACCAGAGCGGGTCAGAGAGCAACATCATTAAAGTCAGAACCAGAAGATGGAGAAGGTTTGAGCGTGAAGGACGACAAGATGCAGCATCCAGAGAAGAACTCATGAAGCAGCTCATCGGAGCGGACCCGTCGTGGACCCGTCGTGGACCCGTCGTGGACCCGTCGTGGACCCGTCGTGGACCCGATACGAAGCTGACGATGTTCTGACGGCAGCAGAGGATGGAAGAAGTTCTGTCTGACTGGATCTGAGACGCTTCGGACTGGAACCGGGCCTCATCAGCTGGTCCGCTGACATGAAGGTCAGCTGCTGCACCAACGTCCAGCCAGAACATCCAACAGAACCTGGTTCTGGGTCTCAGACAACCAGGAGGTGAACTGAACAGAACCTGAGGAACAGATTTAAAGAGAAACATCCTGATTGGACCCAAAGTGCCTGTAAATGGGTTTCACTTGTAAACACACCTCACGTCGGATCACGAGGTCCGACTGATCCGTTCATCAGAACTCCAGAACACCTGTGATGAGCTGAGCTCTGAGACCGGACCTGAACAGGTAGAACAGGTGAAGGAGAACATCAGACTGAACTTCAGAATCCACCAACACTGGGCCCAGAGTACCGGCTCAATCTGAACCCCGGCACCGTCACAGAACCCGGGTCAGCAGAACCGGGTGTGAGCTGTGGTTCCCTGCAGGTTCCCTCCAGAGCAGCAGGGGGCAGCAGATCCTCCTCCAGCAGCCAGCAGGACTCAGGCACAGCGAACGACCAGCAGGGTGCAGCAGCAGGCCAACAGAACCACCGCTGCTGCTGCCATGGCAACCAACGGGAAGGTTCTGCCCCGGCTCGAAGGTTCTGGTTCCTCTGTCACAGGTGTGGTTCTGACAGGAGCAGCTGTTGAGCACACAGGTGAGTGGAGCAAACACACAACCTGATTCACAGCAATGACTTTTTCTGGGTTTTCTATAGAAGAGCTCTGAGGTTCTGTTGGAGGGAGATTCTGTGAGAGGCTCAGCAGCATCCAGGCTGCAGCTGATCCCCTGCAGCCTGGATCAGAACCTTCCTACCAGGACAGAGCGCAGCAGCATTATGGATCACTGCTCTTACAGTAGAAATACACTGAGTTTGTGTATTATTTTATTTATTTAACAGAAATACTGACATGTACTTTATGCAAAAGAAGCCTGAGCTCCCCTTTAGGTTCTCCTCCTCTACTCTCATCTCTCTGCTGCTCCTCCACTTTGCTCCTCTGCTCCTCCCTGTCTGTTACTGGTCTATACGTTAAACATTAACGTTACATCATTTACACTCACATCACATCTGATCACAGTGTGAACACTATTATTTACCTGAACTCATCATTTATGAGTCAGTAAAAGGCTAATGCTACCTGGCTAGCGTCATCTCCATCAGGTGTCTTTCTCTTCTCAGAGCCGCACTCAGCCACACTGAGTTGGTCCCGGGTCCAATTAACTTAAGATACCGATGTGCTACGTAACGTTAGCTGGTCATCAATGTTTAGCTAATGTCTATTTAACTTGTACAATCTATTCTGAGTTACCTTAAGCTAATAAGTCTACCTTTCCTCCGGTGAGTCGCTGCCCTGTTCTCCAGGACGACCCTCCTCTGACTGACCCGGAGCCTGGTGCTGGACGGGACGTCACGTTCAAGGCCGCGCTAAGTTACGTCGCATTAACCTCCCAAAGAGTAGATACTGGGCAAGATAGTTGTCTGTAGTTTGCCTTAGTAGTCGCGAGTAATTGACGTCACATCAAAGCCCAAAGAGTAGATACTGAACAAGATAGTTATCCGTAGTTTACCTTAGAACTCACCAGTAATTATTATTAATTATTGCTGTTTTTTTTAAATTAGATTTTTCTTCTATATTCTTAATATTTTAATTTCACACAGCTGTACCACATTTGTGCAGGAACAGTGGAGATGCAGATGGCGTTTTTGTTGGTCTGTTCTTAGCTTTTTTTGGGGTCCACGTCTGGCGAGCCCTTGAGCCGTTGAACCATGGCTCTGTTGGTTTATGTTGGTGAACAGCTGTTGGCGCTGAGCCAGGCCGGGCCACTGTCCTGGGAGAGACCGGACATCCTGGATGAGCTGGAGGAAGAGGGGATGCAGGGCAGGAGTGAAGCGTCGGGAGGAGAGGAGAGGCTACAAGCCGTCCGTCCATCATCATGGGATACGTGAAGTTTCTCCCGAACGGCCTGGAAGAGCTAACGGCTAACAGCTAACGGCTAACAGCTAACAGCTAACAGCTAACAGCTAACGGCTAACAGCGCTGATCCGGCTGCAGTGGGAGTATCGGGAGTGCAGCCTCATGTTGTTCACGGAGTCATGGCTGAATGAACTCACTCTGGACTCGCTCATAACTTCGGACGGATTTCACCTGGTCAGAGGACCGGAGCTGGAGGGCGAGAGGTCAGAAGAAAGGCTGGGGACTCGTCATGTATGTGAATGAGAGATGGTGTGATGCTAGCACGTTAGCGTTAAAGAGCGGCGCTGCATGAAGGACGTTGACCTGCTGGCGGCTGGTTTGCGGCCGTTTCACCTGCAGAGGTTTCACACGTCCTGGAGATGACAGTTTCCATCCCCCCCTCTGCTGATGCTGCTGCAGCCTGTGAACTCATCCACAGTTCAGTGTCCCAGCTGCAAACATCTCAGTCTCTGATGGTCATCTCAGGAGACTTTAACCGGACATCGCTCTCTCCCCACATTCAGCCAGCATGTGGACTGACTTGGACCTGCTGTGTGCCGACACTGAATGCATGTTACTGAATTATTATTTTCTGTGCTTCTATTTGTGTTTTTGGATGCTGTTGTTTATAATAATTTTCCAGGTCTGGGATAAATAAAGTCTATTCTATTCTATTCTATTCTATTCTAGTTAACGTCATATTAACCTCCTGAAGAGTAGATACTGAGGAAGACCGTTATCTGTAGTTTATTTTAGTAGTCGCGAGTAATTGACGTCATATTAATCCCCAAAGAGTAGAAACTGAGCAAGATAGTTATCTGTAGTTTACCTTCTTACTCAGGAGCACCGACCCAGAGCAGGACTCTGCTGTGAAGGTGGAGACACGCGGCGGTGGTGTGTTTGTAAGAATAAAAAAGAAAAAGAAATTTGAAGGAGCAGCGGCCAGGATTTAAATGAACGTAGAGGAAACAGTGCAGGAGGTAAAACAGCTACCTGGTCTCTGAGCGCTGATGTCTGCTGCTGATGGAGTGTATGTGATGGATGTGTGTGTGTGTGTGTGTGTGTGTGTGTGTGTGCAACAGCAGCAGATCAGACATGTTTGTGCAGGAGGTCAGAACCTTTCCTGCAGAGGCCCAGCTGACTCGATGCACCAGGTCCGTCCAGCGCCTCCTTCACTCTCATTTATTCTGTTTTATGAGTCCGTGTCCCGACTGTGTCCTGATGATGTCGTACACGCCTGAATAATGACAATGAAGTATGTAGAATCTTAACTCTTTTATGCAGCGTCTCTGTCACTCTGATCTGCCTTCAGAGCAGCAGGTCCCTTTATAAGAACCGCCTGGTTGCCACGGTTACTAAACAACAACAACAACAACAATGAGAAACACCCACAAGCATCAGTTCTTCTCTGCATGTTTTGTTTTCAGACTGGAGTGACCATGTGATCAGCCTGAGGCTCCTCCCACTGCTGCTCAGCAACCACCTGCAGGTAAACACGGGACATCCCATCATCCTGCCCTGCACATTGTTGCTTGGAGCTGGTCGCCATAGCAACAGCCCCAACCGGCCGATGCTGACCGGTGAGGCACTCTGAGGACACCTGCTGGACACAAGGAGACACTGCAGTGACTTGGGGATGAGGAGGCGTCTGGGACCTGCTCAGCCTCCTGCAGCTCCTCCTGGTTCCTCCTGAAGACTTGTGACGCGTTTAGAAGTTGAGTCCTGAGCAGCTGAATCTTCATGTCGTCTTCATGTCTCAGGTCTTTGCTTCTAGATGTTTGTGCTGAACAGACTTCAGTTCCTGTGAGAATGAAAACAGCAGCAGCAGCCTGCAGAGCGAAGGTCGACTTTATTCAGACGGCACCGACCCAGACGGTGCTGTGGACGGAGCTAGGTTTGACTCTATGATCATTAGATTCAGTGCTTTCTCTGCTTCAGCAGGAATCACGACGTTCAGGGAGAAACTGGAGCTTGAACAGCGAGCACAGAAGTGAAGGACATGAATCGTCCTGGTTCTGAGCTGTGAGCAGAAGGAAACCTCAGCATCAGACCACAGAGCTTTATTTTAATGGGAGACACATCACTGCCATCAGCCGTCTTCATCATCAAACACTCAGCAGCAGCTTCTTC